GAATTTCCTCCTTCAAATCTTTAGGATAGTTTCATTTTCAAGCTCGAATTATTCATGTGAATAAAACGAAATAACAGATGACAATCAATTGGCAGATGACGTTTCTACGCTAATAATCCAATTTAAACTGCGTTAAATCAATTATTTTACAGTATTTGAACAAATCCATAGGTCACAGTTTCAAGTATGACTAAGTTACTTTACCATTAGTATATAAGTTAAGTTAGTATTCATTCTACTGAAATTTCTTCCAAGATTTTTTTTTTCGCTCTCTCTACAAAATAATGTATTTTGTAAACTAACTTTTTTTTTTTGTCAAATATGAAAAAAATGGAGCATGAGCAGGGAAACATTATTCATCTAATTTATGGAAATTCTAATTTTATTCTATAAAGATACAAGTGTATGTAATAAAATGGACTAAAGAGAACTGTTTGCTGTTTCAAATCTAAGCCAAAACTTTATCATTGGAAGAAGATTTGTGTATTTGAATATTTAAAAGTAATACGACAGTGAAATCTTTTTATGCTTATTTATTTCTATCAATTATGAATTCGAAAGTGATATAAAGATGGAATAACATAATACTGTTATTTGAATAACTATTTTTTACCACTTATATTTATACAATCATGAAAATTATAAATTCTGAAATTAATATAAAAGATTATTTTGATGTCCTAAATTTCTTGCAAAATTAGAAGAAAAAAAAAAGAAAAAACACAGTTAAATAATTATAATCATAATCAAATACAAAAAAACAAAGAAATTAATCATTAAAGTACATTAAAAATACAAAACTAAACATTACTACATAATCATGATTGTGAAACTTGATATACTAAAAATCATGATTTTTACCGTAGTTTCCTTAACAATCAATCTTCTTCACTATTCTCTCATTATCAACAAGTTTTCATCGTTGTTTTTATCGTTTAACCTATCAATTTTTTGTACTATTCTTTTTATATTTAACTAATTAATTGCCTAAGAGGGAGGGAAGGGAGAGAGGAAAAAAAAAACGATAAGGAAGAAAAATTACGAATTTATAACGATCGCTATTCGATCAACATATCAAATCATTTAAAAAACGAAGAAGAAATATGGAAAGAAATAGTTTAAAAGCTAACAGATTTCTTTCTTTCTTTCTCTCTCTCTCTCTCTCTCTTCTTTTCTCTCTCTTGTCGGTCAATATTCTCTGAAAAATCAGAATTAATTCTTAAATAAATTCTGCTATTGTTCACTTGTCCACTTGCCCTTCTCCATTGTCCACTCTTTCATCATTATGTTTGTACTATTTATTTAAGTTTCTGTGCTATTTAAATGATAAAAATGTTCTATCAGTTTGATTACATTTGATATTCTGCTGATAAAATCCTATGTAAAATAATCATTGAACAGTTCCAATAATTTGTGATGTTTATTTGAATGATTTGAAAAAAAATCTGATTAAATGGCAAAGTTTGTTTGCACTAAATTTAAAAATGACACCATTTTTACCCCTTACAAACTTAAAAGTTGTATTTGTGATAATTTGAAAACACAAAGAAAGCTAAATTCCAGTTAATTAATTAAATTAAATTTTACAAATATTTTTTACTATTTTTAAATAAACACATGTAAATTGTTTGTTTACTGTAGTGTAAATTTGTTTTCAAGAATTTTTAGAACTTGTTTTTTTTTTCAGTCATCAGGTACATTGTTAACTTGAAAATACAATTGCTTAATTGAAAACAACTTTAATTTAGAAGGCAGTGCACCTATATGGAAATGTTTTTAGTAATGTCATTTAGTAGAGGTTCAAGTAGTGGCAGATATTGAGTTTAAACGGAAATAAATTAGATGTAAAGAGAATGATAATTCCTTTTACTCTTCATTTCATCCTATTCTTTTTTGCCTAATTAAAAAGTCTCTATCTGTAAAACATCATCAGAAACAATACAACTTAAGTATAAATAATCGCAACAGTAATTAAATTCATTCTAACTAATTAATAACTTCTAAATCGTACATAGCCATATGATAAAAACTCTTCTTCGTTCTTAAAATTTACTAATAAATTCCATGGGGACAGAATATCTATAGAATTTTAAATAAAGAAAAAAAGTGATCAAAAATAGATGGGGAAGATGATTTAATCATTTATCAGAACTGATATCGTATTTATCATACTCAATCAAAGTGTATATGCTACTATGTTTAAATGTATTTATGAATTTTTCAAAAAAAAAATGTACTTATGAATTAAATGCATGTATGTTATTTAAATATATTTATGAATTTAAATATATTTATGAGTTTTCACTTAAAATTAAACTCATTCAGCTTATGTCAAAAAGAAAATTTGTTACAGGAAGATTGGTCGTCAGTCTAAGAATGATTTGTTTTATCTGAATATAACATTTGCAACTTGTTATGAATATTTAATTTTAATATTCTTTAAATTTCCATGATAGTCATCAAACAAATATCCAGGTATGAAAAAACTAATGACCAAGAATAAGGGATAATTTGGAATACAGGACATTAGAATAAATTAAAACAATTTGAATTATATTATTCTACAACTTCATCCATTCCTATTTGTTTCATTACATATTTAGTCACAAAACAAATGAAATTTTAGATGTTAATTTCTTAAAACATAAATCATTTTCACTAAATAATAAGTATTCTATTCCCATAGATTTTCTGATAGTTCAACCAAAAACGGAATAAGTGGAAGACATTAAAACATTAATTAATACTAAGCATTCATAATTAGTTAAATTTAAAAAGTTAACATTTGTTGTTACCCCGACAAATAATTACTCACGTTTTTTAACCCATCATTGTTTTTCTCTTTCTTTTTCTTTTACGACCAATTAATCAACCGATTGATAATATATATTCACACAGGTACGGTCGATATCATTTTTCATTTTATCTCAAACGGAACTTCTTTTTTTTTTTGTTTTTTTAAAGGAAAAAACAGCAACTTAATCCGTTATTTTGCGAGAAAATGAATTTATTTAATTTAAAATGATTGAAATTTTTCATGAGAAATTTTGATGTTTTTTTTTTTTACAAATCATTCAAAGATTACAAATGATTTTCATGGTAAAAGATCGATCATTTTAATCATTGAATTTCTTTGTAATATTATTTCATCAATAATTTAAAAGCAGATATTGTTGTTTAGTAGTGGTAGTAGTTTTTTTTTTATTGAATTTTCGAATGGTCTTTATTTAGGATAATTGTCAAATGGTCAAATGGATTAGCCATCATGTAAACGATGATCAACATGATCAATCGTTTGACATAATTGGTGCTTGAAATGGTCAAATTGCTTCTTAGTATCATTCAACAAATTATTATTGTAATCATAAAATAATTAATTTTTAGTTTTTGGATTGTATGCTTGCAAATGCTAATGTTTCTTTGACTTTTTAAAAACTTTGATAAAACATCTACTGCCTTTTTCTCATGTTTTTCAAAAAAAAAAACGGAGATTCTTCAGCATTATTTATTTCATTCATTTTACAATTTTACAAATTACAAATTATAGAAAGATATATTCTTCTCCTGAAAGTTTGGAATTGTTAACATTGTCAAATTTAATTTCTCTTTCAGTACGAAATTTAACATTTGGTGAATGAATACCGTAAGACAGAAAGTTTAAATAAATACGCATAATAAATTAACTCATTGGTAGTATTTGCAATATTCAAGATGTCATCATTATTATTGGAACCTGAAATAATACGTTATTTCAGTAAACGTGATAATAACATGAGGCTTATTATAAAGTTCACGTATGTTGTCATGACAAGGATATTTTCTAATTTATCCAGAAGTAATTTTAGATTGAAATTATCTTTTAATGACTCATCTATCCCAATTACTTCATCAGAGATAGTCAAAAATTACTATTTGAAAGATATTAAAAAATTATAACTTGTTGGTTATAATAGACTCTGTGAGTATTGACAGTAATTGGTTTTTTATTTTTGAAACAAATTTTGCAAAATTATTTTTTTAGTCTTGAGTTTTTTCAAAACTAAAAAGTAGCATGACGAAGTTTTGTGAATTATCCAGCATTCTATTTTTTAATAATATCTGTTTTCATCTGTCAACTTCTCCTGCCTAATTATTTTCTCGGTTCAGAAACCTTATTGTTCATCTGACAAACGGTTCATTTATTGACATAATTTGAAATGTGAAATTTCTTTTTTAATTTTTGGAACAACAAAGTAAAGAAAATCAAATGAAAGGGAAGTTTTTTCGTCGCTTAATCTTTGCCAAATAATTGCAAACAGTAATATAAGACTGCAAATCAACGATTAAAATTTGGTTTGATTTTGGTTTCTTTACTTTGACCGTCACCGTTTAGCGGTCATTTTCAAAGATAATCTTAAAGAGAAGTTGCGCAAGGTGTAATCATAATTAATCCAAAAATAAGCTTCGAAATCATCGCAAGCAGTTGTTCTTTTCATTTTTCGTTACTATAGGATATTGCAATTTACCCATTGTTTTTATTTTCCAAACATCTTTATGTTTGCGAATTTTGCTCTTCTTATGAATGCAAATTTGTCAACTGTTCGTTTTCTTATTGTTACATTTGCGATTTCTCATCCCAAACATTTATAGCTTCAAAAAAAAAAAGGAAAAATTATTTATTTAATTTGAGGGTTGTCAGCAATGACAGAACAAATCTCCACTATGGTTGTCGCAATATTTCTATTATTTGCCATTGCATCTGCTCAGTCAGAAAATCATCGGCGTTAGTTATTTTAATTTAAAGTAAAACTCAGGTTTTTTTTAAAACAATAATCTAATCAATGATAGATGTCAAATCTACATAATATGTCACGGTGACAGGTAAATGTAACGTGTTACTTCTGAGAAACTTGTATTTAATTCGTGATTGTAGTCACTTGTTAGTGCTAAAAATTCCAATCTGGAAATGCTGGTGGGTATTTCTAGTTTTTTAATATAATATCTCTGCTAACATTAAATCAGTACAAAAACTTTGGGTTCCTTTACAACTATATGAACCTAATTCTCTGCTTCAAATATTTGTCCAAGACCGGATTCTGAACTTTTGAAATAATTTTTCTCCTAGAAAATTAAAAATTCTTCAAAACATGATATTGTATATATATTCTTATTCCTGAAAGTCAAAAACAAGGGTAAATTGGAATTTATAAAATTTCTCCAACATACTTTTTGCTTTTTGCCGTTTCAAAAAAAGAGGTTCTCATTTGCAGAAGATGGTACTTCGTTATCATCTTCAATAGATGATTTATTATCGATGTTTAAAGTAAGATCAGAAAGAGTATACAGACAAGCAACAGCACATCAGAAGGTATTTATTGTTTTCTTTTTAAATCTAGGAAAAATTCCTCAAATTTCAATTCTTCTACAGAAATTTTGTCAAATATCATTGGAACTCGAATGATATTTGCTAAATTAAATTCTGATAAAAAGAAGTCTTTTATGAAATAAGAATTTGCAAAGTCACTCGATGTTTATTGTTGAAATATTGACAAGAATGTTATAAATAAAAACTTTTTTCAGAGTAATGTTTTCAAATTTACTAATCATAAAGTTAATACGGCTCATTATGTGAACGTATCCAAAACCGGAATCGAAAAATCAGCTAATGATGCTGTGGTTAGAGTGTACGGTGAAGCAAATCCAAGAAAAACAGATGAATATTTACTGGATGTTGAAACAAATACACAAATTATGAATCTCGAAGATCATGCAACATCATTGTCATCATCTGGCAAGAATATTCATCAGTTATCAATAAGTGGTTATGGGCCACCGGGGGAAGAACCGGAAACAGCAGAGATGGACCAAAAAGTTGAAGTAATGCAAGTATCATTGAGTCCCGATGTTGTAAATCCATATGGTGGTGGTGTTCCGGAAACTGAAGCAGAGCAACGAGCAATCATTGCGGAAACCTCATCGACGAGTATCAGAGAAGACAGCGGGCTTTCCTCTATCACAACAAGCAAAGGAGCTACAAGTTCTATGGAATCTGAAGAAAGATTTAAGGAAACGGGAGAAGGCGTAACTGAATCAAACGTGAGTAATGGGGAACTGATAGAAGATACCAAGGTGGCTTGTGCGGAAGATTGTAAAACATCCACGGGAACAGATAAAGGTAAAATGGTTACTGAACTACGTGAGGTTTCTATTGGTAGTCAAGAAAGCAGTGCAGTGTCATTAACAGATGATGAAAACGAAAGTTATGGTGCCAGCACTGAGCAATTTGAAAGTAAGAGTATCGGTACTGAAGTTGCTGGAATGTCAACATTTGAGGACGAGAAGACAGAATCAGTACTTGAAGGACATGGTGCAGTATCGGAAGCTGTGAGAGCCAAAACAGCACTGAAAACAGAAGCACAAAAGATTCCAAGTAAGGCTACTGAAGTTGCACAGTCCGAATCACGTGCAGAATCGTCCACCATTGACAGCATCACACATGCGCAAACAAAACCAGTGAATCTACAAACCGTTGCAGGAGATTTCGGTTATGGAGTGGGCTCTGAAACTGTCAAAGAGGTATCGGGTGCTGAGGAAAATCCCAGTAGCATTTCAGGTAATTTGCCAGGAACTCATGTAGTAGAACCAGTAGTAATATCCGGTGTCGGAGAGACAACTTATGATGCTGCAAATTCAAAAGTAAGTGGCGAAGAAACAAAAAATACGGAATGTGAAAACGCTAAGCTAGATTCAAGCACTGAAGGAATTTATTCCTCTCAAGAAAAGATCACAGAGACAAAAGTATCAGAAGACACATATCAAAATCAAGAAAGTGTCACTGGAACCGACATAGCTGCATACCAAAATTTCAGTCAAATAACTTTGCTTGAGACAGAAAAGAGTACCGACCAATCCGTTTTAACAACACAATCGTTGCTAACTGAGGAAGCTACAAGTGAACTATTTACTTCGCCGGTAACGAATAGTACTATAACAGATACCTCATACAGTGCAACTGAAGGGGTTGTTGTCTCAAAAGCAGAAACTTCTCCAGTCATCGAATCAACAGAAGGAATTTCGGGTTATGAAACTTATAATAAACCAGAAGGTTTACCTAAATTAGGTTTACCCGGATTGAACGAAGAATCGGCATCTCAACTGTCGAAATCGATTGAGGAAGCAACTACTCTGTCTAGAACAAATACAGAAACCGAAATAACGGACGGAAAAAGAAGTACAGCATTGGAAGATACAGTAACAGAACCAGATCTTCAAGATTCAACAGAACATAGCGCGGGAGTAAGCGAAACGACAGGATTTTTCAAGGAAGCATCTCTTACATCTGTTGAACAGTTACCAGGATATGGTGCAGTGATACCAGAATATATTGCAGGATCGACATACGGGGAAGAAGAAGCTACAGATTTGCAAAAAACAAGTGAGGAAATTGAACCATCTTCTATAGCACCATATGATACTGAAACAGGTCATGCTGAGGAAAAAATTGTACATGATGATACATCAACAACATCAAGCGAAGTATTTATAAGTTCTGTATCTGCTGAGTATGGAGCCACTGGATTATTTAAGGCTTCAGAATCCATGGAAGGCACAACAGCGTCAGAAGGAACAATGGCAGTAGAAGAAACGAGTGAAATATCAAAATATGATGAAGGGTTAGTAGGATATGGTGAAGCAGGTACTAGTGAACAGGTATCAAGTGAAGAAGCTTTAACTGGATCAGGAATTATTGCCACAAAAACCCCTGAAGAAGTTATACAACCAAGTGAATTGTTAACAAGAATATCGGTCGTTTCCGAACAGCCCATAAAATACGGTGGAGAAACTTTAGCATCAGAATCAACGATAAAAGGAACGGAAACTAGCGATGTAACAACACCTTTTATTGAACAAGCAGTTCCAAGCGAAACAATTGTATCTGGAGAAAGTGTCAGAACTGCGGAACAACCTTTAGGATATGGAGAATTATCAGTAACTACTGATACTGATGGTTCTTATGAGTCTAATAAAGAAGCACCTCTCGAACAACCTACAACTCATGGAGAACAAGCAATGAGGTATGGGTCAAGTACAATAAGAATTAGTGCTGAAGATTTTGGTTATGGTGGAGGAGAAGAAGGAATCACTGAGAGGAGCAATAAATTGCACTCAGTACCTACCATAAATGCAGAAGAAACAACAGAAAGTCCGAGTTCAAGCCAACAGTATGCAGAATTTAGTGAGAGTGAGGGAGCTAAAAAATCTACTGGAGGAGAAGCTGATTACGTCAAAGGCGCTAGTGTGACGGAATCTACCAAACAACTTACAAGTGGAGAAATAGCAGCAACAAGCGAAAGCAGTGGGAGTGCGCCAGGATACGTTGCTACCGGAGTACTATTTAACCCTTCGGATTATTATCCCGCAGGTGAGGAGCCAACTAATGAGTTGTCACGATCTGATAAAGAACTGACAGGACAACAGGAATTCGTAGCAAATACCTCAATTTCAATACCAGAATCTAGTGAAAAAGCAAGAGTAGGTGAAGAAACTACAAGCTTCACAAGTTTGACAGAATCACCAGCTTCTGATTATGCAGTTTCTGAGGGTGAAAAATTCACAGAAGCTCCTATTGCTGAAACAGTATCAGCCGAAATAGAATCCAATAAAATCTCAACAGATACGGATGATTTTGGCTACGGTGGAGGAGTTCAAAAGGTAACGGAAGCAGAATTAATTGGACAAACTCAGGATTCCAAAACTTCGGTAGCAATGGCTGAATCTACCTTAACAACACAAGGAATGCAATTTACTGATGGAACAAAAACTGAATCCATCCAGCAACCTTCAGCAACAGAAACTTCACCAGTGGGATGTCTTACAGGAAATGAAACAAATTCTACAATCGGAAGCGCTGAAACTTCCTTACAATACTCTGCCAGTGTAGGCAACACTTCAACACATTCGGGTGTAATTCATGAAACCGTGAAAACTGCGGAAGCTTCAGAAACTGGTAGTTCTATTATTCCTGGCCAAACATTTTCACGGTATGCTTCGGAAAGCACACTGATGCATATAATAACGAGTGCAGCAGAAACGCCGGTACCGCATAGCATAAGTGAAGAAGCTCCAAAAGTTATTGCAATGACGAAGGTAACGAAAACGGGTCTTTCGAAACTAACCGGTGACACAAGTGCTGTAACGGAAGAAGCAAAAGAAGTTACTGGTATGGAAACTACAGACAAATCTAATTTAGAAACTACTAAAGAATTTAAAGTTGAAGGTACTAAATCCATGGAAACATCAGATAAAGTAGAAAATGAAATGGGCAGCATTTCATCAAAAACTACTTGGATAGGCCCTGAATCAATGACAACCACTGCAGGAAATACTGTATCAGAGTTTTATGCAGAAAATAGTGCAGAGATTCCAGCCAAAATACCTATTGGTCCTGAAGATTTCGGATATGGAAGCGAAAACGAATTGAGTTCATCCATATCGTCAAATGCAGAATCAGTTATGACATTTGGGCCAAAGTTATCATCCAATGTTATTGAAACTTCATTTGCTCCAGAATTAGCAGTTAGCAGCGAATATACAAGTTCCGAAACGTTCATTGCATCAGAATCTAAAAGCAGTGAAGAACTGCTCAGTGCAACAGTTCCGTCAGTTACATCAAATGTAGTGACAGAATCATTTACTGCAACCCAGAAAATGTTGGAGATGGAAAAAGAAAGTATAGCAAGAGAAGAAGAAAGAAATATCCCAAGCAGAATTCCGACTGATGCAAAACAATTCGGATACGGTAGTGATACAGAAGAACAAAGTATTACAGGATCTAGTCGTCCAAGTTCCATTTCAAAAGGTGATTTTTAACATTTTTTGAATACTGACAACTCTATCACGGATTGATAGATTCTCTATTTTTTCTCACTTATGAGTTGTCAGAAATCTTAGTAACCATAACAAAATAGTACTTGCAAATGCTAAATTTAAGATAAGCCATATCATTATTATTATTCAAAAGATTTGATTTCCTTATTGGACAGATTCACGATACGACTAATTTATGTACTAAATGTTTGTGATGGAATCTGGCATTATTAAGAATTGACAGGAAAATAAATTCAAAAGAAAGAACAGTTTCGATCAGGAATTGACACTGCGCTAATTCTTCCATTCAATTGGAGGGTCCCTTTTCTCCCAAAAAAAAAGAGCTTAAAATATAAACTGTCAAACCTTTTAATTGATCAGTTAATCGACATATTGGTAATTTTTCGTATAATTTCATCGCAAAGAAAAAAACTGGTTGATTGTCTTAAATTTCGAAAAATTTCAATTTTTACACTCGACGGAAGATATAACTCAGTGTATCGGTTTATTTAGAATTGATTATCAGCAAGATGTCAATGCTATGTTGATACATTCAGTTTCTGTTATTGATTTTATTTTAATTCAAAGAAATCACTACTTGTTTCCAATTCCAGGTGCTTGAAGCATTCATATTGAAATTTTTAGTTTTCAACCTTCATTCAAGAAGTATTGCCTAATTTTGCTCACAATTTAATGTACCAAATTTTAGTGTTATCAAGCATGTCGTCGGAGAAAATTGACAATTCAGCGAAACGGAAATGTAAATTTTTTTCGAACTTCATTTTTTCCACTAACAAAATAAAAAGTGCTCTACAAGAAATGCTGTTTGTTGGATGATACCGCCATATGACGGAAAATTTGTTGAAGAAGCATTAAAGCAAGCTAAGAAATGTCGATTATTTATTAGTCAAAAGCAAGGATTTCTCGAGTTTCCTCCGGATTCGTTATTTCCGATATTATTAAAACAGTCTAGCATTCTCAATTGATTGATACTAATCCTAAGGCGAATACGTACATCTGCACATGTATTTCCGGATTTAATGAATCGCACGGTCATAAATCCAACAATTTTCATGAGTATCCCAAATCTGATCGTAATAGAAATTTGTTTTTTTGGTTCTCGGCTCAATGACTAATGAAATTACACAATTCTATCACAGAAAATATCGGCATGAAAAGTACTCTCCTTTCACTCAAAATCCCGAAATATTTTATCCAATAATTTCGCAGTGAACTTTTGTGATATTACAGGTTAATTAGTAATATTTCATTCAGTGGATGTTTACTTGCAAAATGCAGGAATTTACCAATTAAATTTCTGAGATGTTAACTAAATTAATAAATAAGGGAATAAGAACTATGCAAAGTAGAATACAGAATTTCGCTGGAGTTGCATTTGCTCGACTGTTCAGTGCGGAACGCATTCCGCGACGGCTACACGACCATTTACAGAAAACAAACAAAGCGCGAAAAGGAACTTACAATGCCATCCGTCAAAACCATTTGATCATTGCTATGTATTACTTAGCAAACAGCATGATAATTTGTTTAAACTTTCCTGGCAAAATATTCCGTTATCGCTTACTTATTCAATCGGTTGCTTAGTTCATTAGTCATTCATTCGGTTAATATCGATTGGCTAGTGAATATTTTTTAAATAATTTTTCCAAATTATTGAATCTTTCAAAATTACCAAAACAATTCCATAGTTATTTCATATTATGCAAATGTAAGTAATTTCAGGGAGACCATATACCATAAACTGTGATATGGAAGTAGACGACAAAGGTGATCTTTGCCAAGAATGGGCTAAAGCAAATCTTTGTGATACAAATCGGGCAACAATGTTTCTTTTCTGCAGGCGGACATGTCTATGTGTTGGTCCACCAACAAATATACCGCCATAACTAAAACTTTAGACGTTGTAATTCTAAGATAGAAAAATTAATCTTTGCGATTTCTTTCCAAAATCTCGGTACCAGTTTCGAGAATTCCTAAAACTTGCCTTAATCATTTTTCAACCAAATTGAATCCACTGATCATGCACATTTTTGTATTTCATCTTCTGTTTTTAAATGCTCTACGTAAACCATTTAAAATTTATTGTTCAAATAATTCATTTCTTTCAATTCACATGAACACTTCCAAACGAACCTAATCAAGTAATCAATTTCATCGAGAAGAAAAAATAAAATCCATTTTGTGTTATGATGGAATGATAGCTCATCTCATAATCTCTGTATGAGGCTTCTCAATCAAATCATCCATTTAAACTGTTAACATTTTCCTGATTTAATATAGTTGAAGTTGTTCTTAGAAAAGATTTCAAATATTTTCTTTCAATCATTGCATTTTTGAAAAAAAAAAATTTCCAAATATATACGAAACAAGAATTGTGGAACTTTTATAATGCAATCTAATGACGATAATATCCGTTGAATTTGTAAAATAATGGTTATACTGAAACAATCACTGATTGTGTTATCATTAATGTCACACCAATATCTTTCATTTCAATTGTCTTTGCTCCACATTATTGGCATGCATAATTAAAACTGATCATATGCAATAAATTTTTCAATGCCACATTTTACATCTTTATTTTGTCATCTTGAAAAAATGTCATCTATTTCCAAATTCAATTGGTTGAATTCTCAAGAAAAGTTTTGAGAAAGATATATATATAGGAATTGAATATGTGATAGGAAAAAAACTAGTGGAGAATTTGCGAAAAGAAAAAATGCATATTTAACTAATAATTTTTCCTCTTTCATTTTAAAAATTTGATCAAATATTGCATAAACTTTAGTTAATTATTTTCAGTAATTTAATAAACTAAATAGTGAAAAGTTTGATCAAATAAATAGGATAAATTCAAATTTCGTTGAAAACTGATTTCTAAACAAGAACACCTGTTGTTGATAAAATTAGTGAATTGCATACTAATGACATGTATGGATCATGATATTCTCATCATTCAAATAATATCACCATGCAGCTTGTAATGGTATCAATCCTAACATTAATTATGTTTTTGCTAATTAATTCATTTCCTATTTATTTGTTGATCATTTCGACCTAAAACTTGAACTTTAAAATTTGCAAAACACTTGCAATGATATATTTCCAATAGTAAGTAATACTACTCCATATGACATATCGTCACATTTCTGTATAATCACACATAGAACAACAAGAGCAATAAATAAGGCATGTACTTGATTAATTATTTGTTATTCTAAATTAAGCCTTCTTTGGCCTAATTGATTTTGTGGCTAATTGAAGAAGATAATATATGTTTGCAGTCAAAGTTAATCTGAACAGATTGATAAATGAAAGAAAATTAACTCAACTTCTACTTTTAAAATAACGCATGCAAAGATTCAGGAGATTATATTATCCACCAAATAATTCTTTATGAATATGTTATCGACCAAGCAAGGAATGTTGCAAATAATCAATAAACTATAGGATACAATGATTGTTCCTCTTCACACAGCCTATATATAAACCCTAAGAAGGTTTAATGTTAATGTTAATATTAAATTTTTCTCCACGTCGCTACTCAACGCTACTCAGTATAATCCAGACTTATTTCCTCTCTATTTACGAATCTTTACTTCAATACTTCTCCCGTTATTGGACCTTATTATACCACAATCGAAATTACTTCTAACCTGTTATTATTGTATTTGTTATTGAACAACAATAAAGGATAACTATTATATTCCTCGAACACATAACCAATCGGTATTCAGTAAGTCACTTTTTTATAAAGAAATAACTGTTTTATTACTAACAAAAAACTAATCCTCATCTTCTCACTCTCATAATATTTCTTTCACGACACACGCCATATCAAATCCTGTGAAATAATGACATTGTCGTCTAATAAAATCAGGAAACTGGTTAGATCAGTCAGTCTCCTAACTATTATCACTAAAAACACGACAATACTACCATATCCAGAAAATATATCCGTTCGCTCCAGAAATCCCATCACTTCCACTTCATGTTCTAAATCCAATACCTATAAGATTAATGCCCATATCTTTGTTCCAATCAATCAGTCACAATCATCAGATGTGCCAATATCAGTGGTATTTACTGCAACTACCACTACAGTACATTGGCTTTACCAACATTTCCCACCCTCACCGTACTTCCAGCATTTCCGAATCTGATTGCCACTACAATGCGTAATTCTGATGACGATGATAATGGTAGTTCCAGAAGTAGTCCGGGAAGGAAATCTGGTAAATCTTCCATAGAAATTCATTTCTTTTTTGATCTTATCAAGAAAAATCTTCCGGTAGAATTCATCTTTCAAGTGCACTTTGGAATTTCAAGCAGTAACAATGATTCCAACAAGAAAGAAGCACTTGAATTAAAAAATTAAAATATGCTACTTAATTTCTATTTATGTTATTATCTTTGCTGAAGCTTTAGTGTTTCTCGAACGGCTCCTCAATTCGAATTGTATTATCATTAATTTCACTTTTAAAATAAAAACAATAAATTTTTTGTAGGAGAACATAAATGGCAATCGGTACTTATTTGAAGTAGAATCTGATGATAAAATGATGATGTCACTTATCGTCAAAATGATGAAGAACTGATAGGGGGGAGAAAAAAGGTTGGTAAAATGATAATCATAAAAACTGCCATGAAAATTTGAAAGATACAATATGAAAAGTGTGGTACTGTGTATTGTTGTACATTTATTACTTATAGCAACAATAATGATCTCAATATTAAAAATTCAATAACATTAATGTTATCTAAATATGCGGAATATGAGAAAGATGAAAAATTAGTGGACAGAAAAAAAAGTTCGATGGGAAATTCGAAGAAGTCATTATTGATTCCTTATTGTGAACACTAGGTTGACAATAATTATTCATTTGAATCTGAATTAAAAAAATTTTACCATTCATATTTCTCTTTATATTTAATTTTTTCTTCACACAAATGTATGAATATTTATCAAACTTATTTTTATATTACCTATATAAATCACATCTACATAAAATTTAAAAATTATTCAAGCTAAGAATAATCCTTGATATATTCATTTATTCTTTCATTAACAACATTATTACCATTCATCATTAACATCTTCATCACATTAGATGCTATGCTTAACAGCTCGACGATATTTGTATATCCAACGTTCTTTCTTATTCACATCTACAGATATATCAAAAATAATAGGATTATTTACTAGCTGTAATTGATCATCCACCAAAGAACAATTGACAAATTTTGTGTAACCATCCGTTGTACAGCCATATCCTAAAATGAATCATAAATATGAAATACTGTATTTGTTACATTTTATGAGTTAAATGATCCGATATATACACGTCAAATTAGAGCAGACATACAAGTTAATAGCATCAAGTGCAGTTTTACATAATAATAACTTGATAATATCAGTCAGAATCAAGCAACTTATTTTACTTCACCTTATTCAGAAGTATTCTAGTATGTATTTGTTGATCTTTGGCCTTGTTTCAAAATCAAAAGCGAATTCAGTTGGCTGTTTTTATTTTGGTTGATTTACAACATTTGAAAAGCAATAAGAAGCAATACTTACAACGCCAAATACTATGCGAGAATATCTTTAATAATGAAAAGATAAAAATTATAGTCAAAAGATACTTCATTTTTTGTTTATCAATATTTTAAAAGAAACCTGAGTGAATATGACCAAAAACGTGATACTTAGGTCGAATACGTTTAACTACAGAATTCAATAATTCGACGCATCCGACGTGTAGTCCCATTGGCAACATATCCCCATGCCCTAAAAATAGCAAAGTTTTCTAAAAACTAACTACTGATTAAAAAGATAACAAACCGCAGATTAGAAAGATAAATGATAATTCAAATCATTGGGACAGTTGCATCTTCCCAATAGATTCAAAACAAATCAATTTGATTGACAAAATTTCATCCGTGATAATTCGTCGGTAAAAAAATTTAGAATACCAAGAATTTTTTTAAATATTGAAATAAAGAAAAGAAAATTATCATAAATCAATGATTGCGAAAAGTTTTATTTCTTGTTGCAATCATTAAGATATGATGAAATCTGGAACAACTGAAATCGTTCAATCATTAGTTAAAACAACCTAGCGGGGGTGTATGAGTGATAAGAACATCGACACCAGCTGGTATATCATTCCATTTATCAAGCAGCGCCTGTCCTCGAGGCAGATTAAAAGCCATGTCATCATATTCCGGTAGCCTAAAATTTCATCATATACTGACAGCTATTTCTCAAATTTGTTTGAAAAATTGAAATAACAATGTCTACTTTAAATTTCAATTTCGAAATTTATGATATCCTTTGAACTTGGCACCTATTTAGTTATACTTAGAAGACCAAACCTCATCATCTAATCGATATCCTCTTCAATATGCAACTGGTGTGATAAGAGAAGATCAAAGTGATATCATCAAGAAAAAGGGACATTCAATTTAAGGATGTTTTGAAACTATTTCAGTCACTTTCGTCATTTCATCATTAGTTTCAAAAATTCAAACACCAAAAAAAAAAAATTCAAAAATCTAATTATCAAACCAAAGACATAATCATGTAAATGCTAATCGATAAATGATGAATGATTTATTTACATTGCAGCAGTTGAGCCAATCTAATAAAGCATTTTATAATTATAATAGCGTAATTAATTACTGAATATTGGAAAATGTTTTAGTGAATGCTTGGAACGATATAATTGATTATTTGATTTGAAATGAAATATTAACCATGGCGTTCCATAAATTCGAATGCCAAATACTTCCAATAAGCTATCTTCTAAATAAATAACATTTCCCAATTTTGCTTTAGCATTTTTCATTTCTTGTAATGAAAATTCATTGCTAAGAGTTTGTCTCATAGCCAGCCGCTTCTCACCAAATTTGCTAAAAACTAAAAAAAAAAAACAAACGTAAATATTGAATTATTTCACTTCATAATCAAAATATACTTCTGATGAAGTGAAAATTTCTGAATTGAAATTTAGTTTTTGGTCACTTGGCTTTTTAACTTACTAGGCTTCTGTGAAATGTTCAAAAGTATTCAGGAAAATATCTCTAATATTAATATCATTGATATGTTGTAAATTTAAATAGAAATGAATTGAAATGCTAATCTTTCCAACAGGAATGGAATTCTTGCCTCTTCCATTACATTTTCTTGATTTTTTTGACTAAAAATTTCCAACTGTGAAAGATATTTATTTATTACAAATGGGAAATGATTCAGTAAAGCAACTGATAAATTAATTCAAAATGAATAAATCACCAATGATTTAATGGATATTTCGTTCATTTGTCATAATTTGAAATTTTTCAAGCCAAAATCTTACCATTAGCCTTCATGAAACGATCATCGAATGTATATTCGTGATTACCAGCAATTACCACTTTGACAGTATGCGGAAGTTGTTCTATGAAGATCAAAAAAAATAGTTCCAGAATGTTTCAAATCAAAAAAAATAAAAGACAAGATTGAGATAAAATGACAAATAAGAGACGAAATTACAATAACTGGTAATTATTGAAATTATTGTGGTACAACCAGCTTTTTGAGTTTATCATTTTGCACCAAAAAGTAATATAAATTATCCAATTATTATCATTAATTTGCAATTTATGGAAATAAATTTAAATTGTTTGAATTTTAAAATCGAGGAATGAGAGAGAAGTTTGAAAGAGACAAATGAGAGAGAAGAGAAATGAGAGAGACGAATGAAAGAAGTTTGGAATATGTTTTTTGAAATGGATAGTAATTGCGTTTAGTTATATTATATCGCTTAAATTTGAATTGAAAACTTTCGAAAATCTTACAATAATTCAGGAATTCTCACTTTTGCATTCATTTTCTAAATTGGCTCAATAGAATGCACATTTACTGTATTTGAAACAATTATTTCACACTTACTCAAATATTTGCTAAAAAGTTCAACTTCATCTGGCCGACCGTATAGTGTGAAATCTCCCGCAACGATAAGAATATCGCCAGGTGGAACGGATTGCGGTTCCGGAAATGACTGATGAATACAAGCCATACAAACAAATCGGACAGCATCATGTCTCACCGGTGCACTTAATTTCATCTGAAGATTTCGTTTTAAACTTAGACTTAATTTAATAGAATCTATGCTTGTGAGTGATTAGCTAGAAAATAAACATTATGCGATAATTCTCTCATCGCATTTATCAGCTCCCTCTTTTAATAAATTTTAGTTAAAAATCAAAATTTCGAAAACAACACTTTTAAATTTCAGGAATTTTACAACTAATCGAGAAAATAAACATATGTCTTTTCGTACCTGTCTAACTGCCTTCACAGGACGATTGTTTTTAATCATTTCCCAAGCTATCAGTGGATCATCGGTGTATTTGTGTGGAGTAATCTGCAACAATTATATTTTAAATAAAAATAAACATTTGATTTGATTACTTACTGAATTTAATCCTTCTAGTTATTAGAAGAATGTGGGAAGGATTCAATGCTTTAGAATTTCTCAATTTAAAAAAAAGTATTCATGATTTTTGAAACTTTGCGAAATTTTTAATAACTCACTTCGGTTGTAACATTTGAACGTCGTTTATGCTTCGATAAACATCGTTGTTGTTTTCGATGTTGGATGATATTTAGAGCATCATTGTGAGGTGATGGAATTTGTTCATCATCCAACTTCGTTCTTTCTAATTCTTCCGTTAATTGCAAAACAAGAGGAGAAGTATCTGGAAGATATTTATTAAGATTTAAAATGTCACAAATATCGAGAGATTATCAAAGTTTATCTATAGTTTCAAATTCTCGAAAAATCTCAGGCGTTGAAATTTATTTTTAGCCACAAAGTGCCCTTGAACTTCTCGATTTACACCACATCTGATGAGTGAAAACTTCTCTAAATACTCAAAGGTATGTGAATAATTCGAGTTATATTGATAATTGTATTGTTGATGAGAGTATATTGCAAACAAAAAAAAGAAATTAATAAATTTTCAGACCATATCCAGTTTTTCTACTGCACCTTGATTCCGCAGTTTCACAGGTACGTTGAGAAGGTTCCCGCGAATTGACAATTGTAACAGGTGCTGATTTGCGTCGTTCTCTTGGTTTTGATAGAGCCTGAAGTTTGCTAAAATATAACTTAGCAAATTCAACTGGTTTTTTTTTCGTCACTAAATTATCAATTTTAAAAAATCAAAAGGAAGATTTTAGTCAAATAAAATGCAACTCATGACATTAAAATTCAAAAAATTACAGATATTATCTTCGTTAGTTACGTGGAAAATTTTCCATTGCCTCAATTTTCAACCTCATGATTTCGCTAACAAAATGCTTCATTCTCAATCAATTAGCAAATGCTAGCAAAAAATTAAAAAGTTTAGAAATGTTACTTCGGTAAACGATGGATATAAAGTAGTAAATCGAAAGAAGTTGTGAAAAATGATGAAATAAAAGATATGCAAATATGCTATAATTTTATTATCACAGTTTAGTGAATACAACAATTTTCACTAATTGAAAAGATAAAGTTTAAAGTTGTAAAAATTTCGAATGAATTATTCATCTATCTTAGTAAACTTTATGCAAATTGTATTTCAAATTTACAATATCAACATCGAAATGCATTTTTAATTAATTTCATCGTCGAAATGAATTTTTTAATTAATTTCGAGGCTGGAGTATGGATAGATCGTTCTTGTCCAGCAATTGTTTAAAATATGCAATACTGAAGGAAGTGAGACAAACAGCTTAAATTGTAATCTTTACTGCTAAACTGTGCTAAGCCAACAAAAATTGTGTCACAAAAGGATAAGCAAAGGATTGTTTGATTTTGGAATTAATTAATTTACACTAATAATCTGGAAATCGTTTATTTTCCAAATTGAACTTCAAATTTTCGAATTACAAAAAGATGGCATTTTTACTTACCATTTGTAATTTAATTTATCTTTCTGAAAAAAATAACCAAACAAACAAACCAGTAGCATATTCAACAATGGCAGTTTTCGACTTGTGCCAAGTTCTTTTTGTTATTTGTTATTAGTCACTTTCATACTTTGCCTAAATTTGGTATAGTCTTAAAAGTTTTCATTTGAAAAGTAAAATGTATTGTGTAGAATACACCAATGTCACATTATCAATGGAAATGCAAACGATAAAATTTTTGGAAAATAAAATGTATGAATCCATCTATTACCAACATGAATAAAAACATTTTGGAAACTTTTAGTGAGGAGAGGAATTTTGCCATTTATTTTTTTGAAAAGGGATTATTGAGAATCTCGAAAGAATAGGTTTTAAGCCTTTCTACGAAGACTTTGATTCTATGCTCGAAAATTCCACTCATTCATTTCATCAAAAACTTGTCACACTGTCACACTGAATTAATTAAGGTAAATTGAAGGAGAAGGGAAGAAGGAATAAGTTGACTTTTGCAAATGGACCAAAAGTTGAAGTTTTCAGCAAAAAAGAAAAAAAGATAAGAATACATATAAATGAATAATATTCAAATTGCCAATCATCGAAACAAGATTTTTTCCTCATGAAAAAGATAAAAAAACAATTAAGAGAGCGTTGAATTACATACTGTTATAATAAATAAAGTTAATAATGAATGGCATTTTTATCTGTGATATCTAACCGATGAAATACCTGACCGTTGTACGAAGCAAGAATATCAAGAATCCTTTAGAAGTATTTGACAAACTGAAAGAGCGACAATTGTTATCAAATTGAATCAGAATATTGGTGGATAAATTGTTAATTTTACTAGTAAATTATTTAATAAATGATGTATGAATGAAAAATTTTCGGTTTGAAATTCTTAGATTGCTAAAATCATCAAATTCACCGTATTCTTCTATGTGATCTCTTCATCATAAGAAGACAATATTTTAGATAAGCAATTAAAGTAATGTAGCACTAATTAAGCTTATCACTCAAAATATTTCAAAAGAAAAACCCTACTACCCTTCCACTCACGGTAGTGGAAAATAAAAATTTGAAAATCGAATGAATTAAAATGCTTGAGTGGTATGGGAAGAAGAGGAATTGGAATAACCTATTGTTACTTTGATTGAAATACCTTCCACTAATCTGTTCAGAGTAATTAAATCTCTTCATATCAAGAAAAAAAGAAAAAGATTTATAACTGAGTCATCATTTTTCAAGTAGTATATGAACGTTGAAATTGATTATCTATTATGAAAATAAATTAAGTTCTGAGAAGAAAAGAGAAGAATTAGCCTCAAACATAGACTACCACACATTTCATTTACAGATGCCTAGTTTGTATCTATTCACTTCTTTAAACTAATAGATCAAAGTCCAACTTGTTGATTGCAAGGGAATAGAAAATGATAAATTAATTTTTTAATAAGATTGACAATTGTTTCAAATTCCTTGCAACTAATTCCTGACTTGCTATAACTGAGTACTATAGCAACATTGTGTTGATATTTTATACTGAACTGTTCATTCCTTCTAATTTCCATTCATTCTACCAAGTAAAAATTCGACATGGTAGTCCAAGGTGGAAGACTGTCGTGCTTATTGCTTTTAAAATATGGAACATTTCGTGGTGGAAAAGTTACGGAGTTGCACATACAAAGGGAAATTTCCAGATCTTAGACTTCCAGACTGCGTTCAAACCAACTGAAATAATCAGAACAGAAACCATGCTCTGAATTTTGCAAACCAGAAATTTACCTATCCCTGGAGCATAGGAAGTCATCCTTCTCAATTCGGCAAATTTTTGAAGTCTCTTGTATTCGATCACTTCGAAGCAATTTCTTAAAAAAATAAGCCGAAGAGAGGTGAGATAAGCATACAAGATGGAGCGACACTTCATATTCCATCTTCATATTCATTCAACTTCTGAAGCCCCTCATTATGCATACACGCAGTATTTATAACCCATAAACTGTTTAATAATACTAATAGTAAGAGTAATAATAATAATATAATAATAAATAAGAAGCGAAAAGCCAACCAAAAACAACCATGAATCAAAAGAGTAACTGTCGAAAATTCTGATATAAATTTTGGAAAATTGTTAGAAAGAAGAGTAAACAATGAATCCTCGAAAATGAGCAGTGTTATGATTTGAAAACAAGAAGGAAAAAAACAGATTTAAAATAAAGGAGTATTACAACGCAAGCGATTAACACAAGGCACTGTTCCACATCAGTCCAACGTAGTTAGGAGTCGTATGAAGATGTGCATCAACTTTGAACGGATTTTTCGGCTGCAATTTAAAGGAAATGAAACTTCAAAATCAACAAAGCTTACCTAGTTGCTTCGAGAATTTGTAGCTTAGAACTACTTCACTTTCCACATAGTGGAAGAGAACGCAAACTTAATACAAGCGATGACAACACTCAGATAACTATAAAACTGCGAACTGATAAAATGTTGTCAAAATCAAAACACTGAAACAAATTCAATTTGTCAAAATTTGAAGTTTTCAAATGTATCCAAACCTGGATTATCAAAATTTTTGGCAATGTTATGAAAAAACCAAAATTGGTCCCGAAGTACTGCAATTTCCGTGGCACCTTTTTTATGAGCATTCACTAAGCATGTCTCACAATTCAAAATGATATAAATTTGGCTAATATTTTCGAAGATAAGGCTTGACAAACAGTTCAAGGTAATCAATCAACTTATAACTAGGTACTTAGTAAATGCAACTTCGGGACCGAACCAAGCTTACTAAAAAAAGAAACAATGGGTAATTTGAAAATTACTGCAACATTAATTATAAACTGAGCATATCTGAACAATAAAAACTGCTAAATCGTAAAGGCACAACAACAGAAGGAGTATGATTACCAGAGTGTTTCACTTTTTTTTTCCAAAAAAATTTAGAACTAGTAGGGAAGGGAGAAAGAAAAAGAAAAAGGCAATACGACTTACAATCATGAGTTGAAATTTAAAAGAGAAGCTTGCATCATTTTTTAACTGAAAAATGTCAGACTTTCAAACTATTGAAAATTAAGGTTTTGAAAAGTATGACAGAATGACGAAGCAATGAAAAAAACTGAAATTTGGACTGTGCAAAACAAATAAGAATTGCAGATGAAATAGCACACATATATTGTTGCTGTTTCATTGCCACTGTTATCGTCATCGCTATATATGTAGGATGGTAGTACCCTATTATTGTTAATATTGCGATTCATCGGTTTTATTTTCACTTTAAGATTTAAAAACGGCGTACTCCACTCCAAGCGCCTGCAGCTGCAGCTGTCGCTTGCGCAGTACCCATCGTTGGAAATTGCTCTTCGGATTGCATATCTAGCTGCCATGGTGCTCCCTTAATTTCAACTTCAACACGAGGAGGCAGTGGTGGTTGTTCCGTCACACGTGGAGACATGTATTGACGACGTTCCTTAAATTGATGCCATGTAAAATTACATCACTAAAAACTGAATCACCTTATCTACAGAAAACTTGGTAATAGGTTATTCGAACAATTCATATTTATTCCAAAATCACTTAGTATAAAATCAACAACTACGGGTAATTTCAATATGCAAAATGAGCAATTTTTTGGCAAAAAATTACGAATAAAATGCTGGTATGTTCCCTCACTTAATTATTTCAGCCATCGCTACGGAGTCAGAAAAAAATAAATGCCGTTTCTATAACATACATACTCTTGCATAACGAAATAACATTCACTATAATATCCGCGTGGAAATCAGTTTCTTAAGCATGAGTTCCAATTTATTAAGCAAATTAAAATTCAAAAAAGAACGAAAGTTACCTGATATGACAAATTACTTATATTTGCTGCTATTTGATATCTCATGTTCAACGAAAAAACACAGTTATATATTAATTTCTCATATAATATGTAATTTAAAAACCTGTAAAAATTCTTCTTCTTCTCGACGCAATTGCTCAATGCAATCGTATACCGCATCTTCATCTTTGCCTGCAATCACAACTAGATTTGGATCTGGATCGCTGCTCCTTGGCAAACGGATTTCCACTTTAAACTCATCCATCACCTGAATCACCTTCAATTGTACATACGTTCATGGAAAAATTTCGCTTTCAGCTAAGCAATTTGACTGTTTATAAAAAGTAGCTTTAATGTTTGGAAATATGACAATTGATCGTTTGGAAGCCATACTTATTGTTAGCTAATTTCCAATCATCCTTACAGATAAATCAGAAGGGAAATATTCTTATAATAAAAGCCCTCGATGCGAAAATGTCGACAACTTTGATGATCATTTTTTTACACACAGTTCTGGAATTACACAAATACATATAAGCAAGCTAATTTTCAGCACATGTAAATATTACCTTTTTCAAATTACGACCTTTCTGACCTATTAAACGAGGATGAAAAGTTGCATCCAGAAAGATTTCTTGGGTGAAAAGAGACTGAGCTTCACCAATCATCGCTTCCATTTCTTCTTTACATGCGTTACAGTTCGCTTCGTAGCCTAAAAATGATAGCATTTGAAATCTGCTAGCTGCCGACTGAATTTTAAATCTTAGATTTCTAAATTTATGGAGAAGCTAGTAATTTCTTCCGCCTGGTTTTGCTTTACATCACCACTTTTTTAAGCATGCAAATGTTAACCAGATATAAATTACTGATTTAGGGAGTACCAGTAAGCGTAATTGTGTCTGGCGGATCATTGTTGGATCGCGGGAAAGCAATTAGAACATCATGTTTGGCGCGCAATTCGTTTACAACTTTGCCACGTGGACCAATCAGTCGAACGTGATATTCTGACGGGGCATCAAAAGTAAGTTTGAAAGAGCGTAGGCGCTAAAATTAAAAAAAGCTCAGAGTTTGTAAATCATCAAGATGTAGTACCGTACAAAGAGGCAAAAGACCCAATAGGCTCAAAAAAATCAGGTGAATGTCAATAACATTCAAAAAATTTTTCGGACAAATCAGAAAGTTTATTTCCTGTCCCTTTAAACTCATTAAGAGCAACTGCTTTCACGAATCACAATCTTATGTGTCAACAAAATAAATGACTCCTCTCTTTTCATTTTTCTTGCAAGTCAATGGTAAAAAAAAGCAACTAAACGATAT